TTTTGAACATTTTTCATGCCTTTTGTTAGATGATTATAAGAGAAAGGTTATACTTGCAACTATGTTAAAGTTCAAGAGAAGTTATTGCAATTACCAAACTTCAGGTGAGGTTTTTAGTAATGGTTAGAAACTTCAGGGGACATTTTAGCATTTTACCCTTCATTGGTACTTTTAATAGTATAAATAAATATACTATATGTATGTATTTATGTATAAAATAAAAGTAAATATACACAAAACATTCTGACTTTATGTGGAAATTTTAAATTACAATAAGAATTATTGTTGTTATTATTATTATTATTATTATTAAATTTTGTATTCTATTTCCATCATAAATAAAAATAAATAAACAATTATTTTTATTTAATATGATGAACATATAACATTAGAAATGTTCCCAAATGTTTTAGACAAAATTTTATACTTTTCCATTTTTTGTGTTTTATCTTTTTTTAATTATTTATTATTCAATTATGACACCATGATTTTATTTGAAAAGTTGGATACTTGACCCACCATCTAGGTAAGAAAATAGCTTTACTTTTAGATCAATTTTAATTATATATGTCATCTATATTATATAAATAATTTTTACTTATTACACTTAATATTTGTTTGATATAATTAATATATCAGAGATGTGTACAATTTTTTTTATAATTTTTATATTATTTTGATTATTTGTATTTTTTTACTTTTTGAAGATTTATTATTTAACTATGCCATCATCGATTAATCCATTTGACCCAACCCACGACCCAAAAAGGAAAATAGTTTGGCTTTTAAATTTTCTCTAGTTTTTTATTTTGTTATTCTTTTTATTTTCTATTTTTTAAATTTTATTATTTGACTATGGCATCATTTCATTTCTATGTTGATTTTAAATTTGACATTCCATTTTCATCATTAATAAAAACACTTCTTATATTTTATACTTATTTGGTTTAGTATAATGAATATAAAATATTAGAGATATGCCCAATTATTTTTGTTTTTATCTATATTTTATATTTTATTTTTATTATTATGGCATTGTTGATTAGCTCATTTAACCCCAAATAGTTGAATTGCTTATCCACCATCGAGAGGGAAGAAAATGGTTTTTTTTTTCAAATTAACTTTTCAAAATATTTATTTTTATAATATTAAAATTAATGTTGTTGATTTAATTAGTAGAATATAATGATGAGAAAAATATATCTCAAATATAGGATTTAATGAGAGAATATAACTTAAATATGAGATTTAATGAGAGAGAAGAGAATAGGAAAATGGTTTTATTTTTAATTGGTTTTAAATTTTATATTCCATTTCCATAAATAATAAAAATATTTCCTATTTATCATAATTATTATTGTTTAATATGTCGAATATATGATATTAAAAATATTCCTAAATTTTTCTTTAATTTCTATATATTTTTTTAATTTTTATCTTTTTTTGAAATTTTTATTATTTAATTGTGGCAACATGATTTGGCGATTTGACCCAAAATGGTTTGCTTTCTTACCACCACCTAAATGATAACATTAATTTTTCCATGTATATTTTAAAATTATAAGTTTTTATTTTATTAGAGTTATTAATTTATACTATATGACTTTTAATTACTGGAATTTAGTGATGGTAATAAATAAAAATGCTTTATGTATATGATTCAATGAGGGTGAACAGAAGTTAATACCTTAAATGTGGGATTTAATGAGGGAATTGAATGTACTGAATAATAGTATTCAATTTACATTTTTTGCCCTCAAAATAAAGGGACCATATTTCAAAAAAAGATGGTATTTTAGTCATAAAAATTCCAGAAATTCTAGAGGCTATTTGTAATTTTTATAGTAGTATAGATTTCTTGGTCAAGTGTTACAGTTCAGTTGTAACTTATAAACCAATATGGTAGGGGCATTTAAATAAAAAATCCTTGTAATAGGAGGTTTTCTAAAGGTATCAAACTGGGCAATTACTATGATGCTGGAAGAACTTTAACCACTCAAAATTACCCTTGAAATTTGATGAACACTAGGCTACCGGCTGCTTGATTACCACTTTTATTATACTCATTGACTAGGGGTGCTCACGATTCGGTTAGCTGAATTGCGGGCCTTTTTTTGTAACCGAATTGGTACTATCGGTTTTTGGAAAACCAATAACTGAAATCGAATTGAAGCCAATCGATTAACTGGTTGATTGGTTGGTTAATCGTTGGTTCAGTTTGTTAGTTTTTTTTATTTTTATAATATATATTATAAAAATATATAATAAAAAATTCTAAATATATATAAAATATTATATTTTTAAATAATAAATAATATATCATATATTATAAATATATATTTATATATAATGCAAATTTATTAATTGGGAAATTATTTAAAACTCACCATGAGTTTTCAACATTTCTCTTAAACTCACAACTTTTCAAAATGTCTAAAACTCACCATGTTAGTAAGTTTTTATTTTCCAAAACTCACCTTTCCATTAGTGCACTGTTAATGCTTCTTAACAGAGGTGTCCATGTCAACATAAATAACAATTTTCATGACCAAATTACCCTTGAATGGCGAGTTAGAGGAAAAATGGTCTTTTTCAGTTTTCAAATTTCTTGTTTTTTTTTTGCATTTTTAGTGTTTTGTTATAATTTTCAATGTTTTTATAATTTCTGTTTTTTTTTACATTTTCTATTTTCTACAATCTATAAATTTACTGTATTTTTTGTTATTTATTTGTAATTTCTGTGTTTTTCTATAATTTTTGGTGTTTTTCCACAATTTTTTTTGTGATTTTGTTTTTCAATTTCTATAGTTTCTATAATTTGAAAATAATTTTTTATTTTGTTTACAATTTCTATAGTTTTTTTACATTTTTTTTTGTAATTTCTATCTTTTTATGTATTTTATATTTGAAAATATTTTTTGAAGTTTTTCCTTTTTTTCATGTCTAAATATTAAAATGGTAATATATTAACACCCATTAATTTATTTTGTATATATTTTATCTTTTTCTGTGAATGTTAAAATGGTAATATATTAACACTTGTTAATCTGTTTAACGTCAAGTTAGTGACATGGTGAGTTTTAGACATTTTGAAAAGTTGTGAATTTAAGAGAAATGTTGAAAACTCATGGTGAGTTTTAGACAATTTTCCTTATTAATTTATAATATATAAAAATGTAAAATATATATATATATACATACATAAATATATATAAAATATATAGAAATATATGTAAACCGGTCGATTCGGTTAACCGCTGGTTTTCTATATTGGTTAACCAAAACCAAAATCCTTACAAAAGCATATATTGGATTCGTCTTTCAAAAGCATATATCTAAAACCAAAATCCTTACAAGCCCTAAAAGACAAAGCCTAAGTGCTTGTTTGGGAGCACTTTCGTTCAGCGGCTTCTGGTGTTAAATGAGCTGAGAAACCCATAAATCCATTAAGTCATGTTTGGTAAGCAACTGGAAAAATAAAAAATAGTCATACATGGGCTGAAAAATCGACTTTCTGGTGAAGCTATCCTAGTTAGTTTCTTTGAGGCAGTTCGGTCAACACAGCTCAATCAATGCAAAAACCCTCCCAAATGGGCCCTAAAATTAGGGCTTTTTTTTTTTTTAAATTTCACTGGGGCCTTTTGTTTCTTAATGGGGTATTGTGCTTTTGAGCTATAGGCTCACTTTAGAAGGAGTACAAATGCAAATTTGTAGAGTGTAAAACCTTGTATTTTATTTTGTATGTATTTACACTATACATATTTGTATTTGTACTCCTTCCAAACTGAGGCTTAAAAACACAAATCCTTACAAGTGTGGAAGTTTGAATTAGAGGGTCTAGTGGTAGTGCTAATAAATGGCAATTGTAGGGATTGCATAGTTAGAGAAGTATAGGAAAAGTAGAAAAAAATGGAAAATTTGCTTAAACCTCCTTCATATTTTGACATATGCAAAAACCTCCTTTCATGTTTTTTGGGAATATTACCCTTCATACTTCAAATAAATACATAAACACACCCTTCTTGTTAACTATCATGTAAGAAGACATTGAAATTATGACTATATCCTTGTTATGAAAGTGCACAGTAAACACCATTATTCTCTCTTTAGATTAGGGGTAAAACTCGTGTTGGCCTGAATTAACATTTTACATTGCTTTGGGTTCAGGCCTTTAGGCCAGGCCCTATTCAAATTTTGACAAAAAGCTGAATCCAATTCTTCCCAAATTGCACTCCTACTTTAGATTGCTAAAAGAAGAGGTTTAAAAACTTTAAGGCTGAGTTTTTCATAGGCAAAAATGAAAATTTAAAAACTTTAAGGCTGAGTTTGAAAAGAGTAGAAATACAAATATATAGTGGAAAATGTTGTATTTTGTATTATTTTGTATGTATTTATACCATACATATTTGTATTTTGACTCTTTCCAAACTGAGCCATTATGCTAGCATTTTTTGTCCTGTGAACTAAACAGGTGTATTTGCATATTTATTTGAAACATAAATGTTTTTTTTTTCCTCTAGAGATCAAAATACGGAGAGGTTGTGGTTTAAGTAATTTATAATTAAGTTTGAATTTTTCTAAAAGAAATTATATTGCTACTTTTTATCAAGTATAATGTAAGAACAATAATGGATAGATTTAAATGCCTAAATTTAAAATAATAGGCTCTAATTTGGGCTTCAACCTTCCTACTTGGCAACAAAGAACATTATATTATCATCGGACCGGATGGTTTATATTCATTTTCCTGATGAACCGTCTCATCCCTTGTCTATAACTGGGTTTGGGAGCTTGGGTTCAGTAAAAAACCGGTAGGAAATCTAGGGATATGCTCTTGGTTTAAGTCGGACCAACCGTTCGGTCTGGTTTTCTTCTTTCATCGGTCGTTGTATGTTGAGAATAGACTCGTAAGTGTAACCAAACATCCCAACTCTATGGAGAAAAGCCCTAGAAACTGAAACCCTAGAGGGGAGTATAAAAGGATCACGTTTGGTGAATGGTGATTGATAACTCGTGCATTCTCGGAGAAACCGCAAGGGAGCGGGAGGAGAGAAAGTGCGAGAAGATGCAGATCTTCGTGAAAACCCTGACGGGTAAGACTATAACCCTAGAGGTAGAGAGCAGCGATACCATTGACAATGTCAAGGCAAAGATCCAAGACAAGGAAGGTAAATTGATATCTCAAGTTTTGGCCAGATCCTACTTTCTTCTTAATTTGGTCTTCTTCTGTCATTTTTTTATTCTTTGTAACCCCTGGAAGTGGTGGTTTTGCAGGAATTCCTCCTGATCAGCAGCGGTTGATCTTCGCCGGAAAGCAGCTAGAAGATGGCCGAACCCTTGCTGACTACAATATCCAGAAAGGTTTCTTTTATAAACCCCAGTTAGAGTTAGAGTTTTTAGTTGAAACCTTTCGTGCTTTTAAGTTTTAACTGGTTTCTGTCGTTGGTTTCGTCGTGTTGTTGCCGCTGCTGATGCAGAGTCTACATTGCATCTGGTTCTGAGGCTTCGAGGAGGAATTATCGAGCCTTCTTTGATGGCTTTGGCTAGGAAATACAACCAGGACAAGATGATCTGCAGGAAGTAAGCTTCGTATCTTCTTTCTTGTGAGTTTGACATTATGAATTAATGCAACTGTGATGCTTGTGGATGCACATAATATGATATTTAATGGGTATGCCTGATTAGATCCCTAATGTATTCCTTTTGTCTTTTCTTATGAAAAAAATGAAATTTGCTGTGTGTTTATTAGTGTTTTATTTGTTTGTGGATGCCTTCTTTTTCTTTGTTTGATGATTTGATCATAGTTTAATGGGACTATAGGTTAATATCTTCTCCTGCTTGAAATGTGCCAAGGGGGTTAGTCTATAGTTCCCAAAACGAATTACCACTTTTAACTTTGTCAGCTGGCTTAATGTCTACTGCAGTTGATTTTCAGGGGTGGAACATTATATCTCTGATAATGGATGATTAATTAATGTAAAGAAATATTCTTTTCTCTTTTTGGATTGTCCATTTGGTTGGACAACTTCTTCTTAGTCTATCATGGTGATACGTGCTATTAAATTAATAGCGCAGAAAATATGGGGGCTTATTTGTGGGCTTGCCTGTTACTTGGGGAGCTGAATTTGTTCTCTTATAGGTATCATGATTCAGTTAGATATCGTTGACCCATGCTTTTTGATGGAAGGGTTTGCACACAAAATTGGGGGATTTTAGGAGTAGCCATTTGGGTGATAAAATGGGGGAAAGTGAACTAATATGATTTTTTTGCATGCGCATAGACATGTAAGAAGTGATCAATGTTTTAAAATGTGGTGTGGTGTGAGGCATTCCACCATCCTAAGCCATAAGTCGTAAGCTTCCCAGGCATGGATTCTTTTAATAATAAATAAATAATTAAAATTAAGATAAATTATAATATAGTTAATATCTGATAAAAATGTGAAAATTTATGAGAAACTAGAAAAGATATGCTATCTCCACTTTTAATAACATTTTATTATATTATTACAATAAACAAGATTGGCGGATTTTCATCCACTTATTATATAATATATCATGGGGAGGATGATAAAAGGTTACTTATTTATAGTATTTTATATTATAAAAAAATTATCTTCAAATGTAAGAGCAAATGGGGTGTACACACCTAAAGTGTGTCTATGCTTCTAATCTTCACCTCCAGGTATTTTCCTTGTGCCTTGCAACACCTCCAAGCATGTGATTCCAGGCCTTTTTAAAACAATGGATGAGATGCAAGTTGAAGGGTCTGAAAGTATTAGGGCCCAGGGATAAATGGTTTGAGACTCAGTGTATAACGTAAAAAGTTTAGAAGAAAGAATTTCACTTTTTTTGACTCGGGCTTGCCGGCCTGGAATGCTTTTCACTTGTTTTTGCTTGAATAAAAAATGTAGTAAACAAAAGAAAGGAAATAATTTTAGATTGTTAGCAAGGATTTGAGACTCGGGCTTGCTGGCCTGGATATGTTTGAGATGTTTTTATGATTTGAAAGATTTGCTCATTGTGGAGTAATGGACTCTGTGTTGCGTCTCTCTCTCTCTCTCTGAGGCAGGGGTGATTTTCCCCGGTGTTGGAGAGCTAGTTTTATCCTTTTTTCCCTAGTTTACAAAAAGTGAGCATTACTGATAAAAATATTGTTGTTAGTCCAAACTATAAACATGTTGGTAACTGTCATCCTCTTTGTTCTTTCATTGTGTTTTAGGTGCTATGCACGTCTGCATCCCAGGGCTGTAAATTGTCGGAAGAAGAAATGTGGTCACAGCAATCAGGTAATATGCCCTATTCCAAATGTGATCGTTCTTTTTAATTTGATTCTTCAGTAGCAAAATACTCGGTTCAAGCACTGTGTTGTGGGTATTTTGGTTCTGATGACCAGGATGCCCTTCAGATGATGCCCTTGGCATCATGTATTTAGTAGCTAGAACAAATCGGTGCTTGTATCTTTTTTGGGTACTTGCATTTATTTTCCTTTACCTGTGGACATCTGAACTGTTTAACTAAACATCCAGTGGACATTAGATTGTTTTCACTGACGCTCTATTGTTTCTGCTGTAAACAGTTGAGGCCAAAGAAGAAGATCAAGTGAGCCCTTGTTGAGACTTGTTTGCATAAGGTGGGGACATCGGAGGATGAAATATGGACTAGTCTACCCACAAATAGATTGCTTAGATTCAAAAATGGATTTTGTTCTATGTTTTTTCTTTTTAATGCCTTGACTTGACTGCTACACTTTTGGTTAAGACTTGAGGAGATGCAAGGTTTATGTTATTAAACAGTTTTCCCCATGGTTTTAATGATATCGTTGCTGATAAAAATGTCATCTGGATTCTAGACTCGAGTAGTAAACATGTCTTCCCCCTCAAGTCCTTGAAACTCGTTCAAAAATGAAGATTCCAGTGGATTTTTGACAAGTTGACGAGTTATCAACCGATGTTTTACCTCCCGTCTCCATTGAAGGATTGACAGTGAGTTTGGTAATGTTTGGAACATTTTGCCTTTTTTCCAGTGCCGTGGTGCTGCATTGGTATATCCCTTTTTTTAAAATAATGGCATTTTTTTGTTTAGGATAGTTTCAGGCTTGCAGCCACTTGGGTGTTTTTTCACGACGGTATAAAAATGAGAATGTTTTTTCGAATAAAATCCAACCAAATAGGTGTTGTTTCTCCGAATCTTGTATGTGGTGCCGTAATTTCTGCCGTGGGAAAACCGCATCGCATCCGTTCCAAGCATGGCCTATGACTATCTATATGGGAAGTGATGGTTGTATTGTGGGATTTGTGGAAAGGTGCGGCTCCGAATCTTCTGTCACCACAGGGTTAATACATACACTTGTCTTGTTATAGTTCTTGATTTGCGAGTAGGGCCTTAACCTTTTGGGTTGTCGCTGGTAACATCTCATTTCCAATGTTTGATTGGTGAAATAGAATTTATTTCAATTTTATTTCGATCTATATTTCGTGGAAATGGTTTGACCTTTAGGCTGTGTTTGTTTTGTGTTAATCTTGGTGCATTGTTTTCAATGTAAGTTTCATATCGAAAATTGATGTAAACTCCACTACTCAGGGTGGAGTTTTATATTGATGATCTATGTAGTCTTACATCGATAAATGATTTTAGGGTAAATTTAGTTTTATATTGATAATCGATCGATAAATGATTTTAGGGTAAATATTTTAAATTATTTTTATGGTTTGGTTTAGTTAATTTATTAAGTGTATCTTTACTATCCCTATTGTTTTTGACAATTAACTAGTTTTACCTTTTACCGTTTGCATCTGTTAATATTTTTTTTTTAAATTCCAATTTTACCCTTACTATCTTTCTTTCAGCAGCAAACCAAACTGGTTCGATCCTTAAAGGAACCCAAATCTGAGTATTGCCTCCATCAAATATCAACTATACAACCCAAAAAAAGATATAGAGAGGGGGATCTCAACCGAATACCCTTCACTGGGAACCAGAGAAGAGCTCCTGAGCGGATATGCTAGAAAGAGCCAACCTACCGCTAATCTTACCACGAAGGTGCTGGTGCCGGACGACGGTGGCAAAGCTGTTATAGTGGTTGTTAGTTGCTGTTATAGTGGCACATGCGGCATGTAAGCAATTTTTAATCCAAAGCCCACAGGGAGCCGTGCCTTGCTGAAGCTGAAAATGAAAAAATACGTTGATGCAATCTAACACTTAATTGGATGTTGGCTCCACCTCAATCATCGACAAATTTCTGCATGTAATAAGCTGACGACAGTGGCAGAACTGAACCCAACCCCAACGATCGGGTGAAGAGAAGTTTGGTTTGCAGGGGTGAAGAGAAGAAGAAGAGGAAGGGTTTGTTCACGCCATGGGTTGCAGGTTTTGTTGCAGAGGTCCCTCCTCTCCGTCTCCCTCTTTTCGTCGCCGACGATGCTATGATGCCATGGGCTGCAGGTTTTGTTGCCAGAGATCCCTCTTCTCCGTCTCCCTCTTTCCGTCGCCGACGATGCCATGATGCCAGGGGTTGCAGGGTTTGAAGAAGAACGAGAGCACGAGGCGCAGAGCCATTCTCTTCTTCTTTGAAGTCTGAGCAATCCTAAGCAAACTGGGCTAAGTGAGGGTTGGGCAGGGATTCTTGGGCGGTATCCACTGGTTCGGACTTGGAAGCCGGGTAACAGCAGCGGTGCTGACTCGATGGAACCCAGATCTTATCCGGTCATCATCCGCTGTTCTGGCAGTTCCGGCGAAGAAAATGAGGAGAGGGAGAGATCTGAGTAATTTATAGTTGAGGGTAAAATAGTCTTTTTTAGCGTAAGTCAATTTTCAAACAGTAGTTGAGGAGTACACTTAATAAACGAAGGATACTTAATTGGCATACCCATGATTTTAGTGGTATAATTTTTTCCATGTATTGACATACCTTTTTTTACTTTACAATGGCACCATTTAAACTGATCGATGTAACGTTACCTCGGCAAAAACTTTACACTAAAAACCAGCGCAGCCTTAGTTGGAATCAAGTTTTTTAGGCTGCGTTTGTTTTCAGTGTAAACTTAATTCAATCGGTGGAGTTCAACGGCGATGGGTTTAAAATTTTAGTGAACTGTTGGAACCTATTTAATGTAAATGTACAGATTTTATCGATGTATATTTACATCGATTACTGATGGAACCTTACATATATCGATTCACATTTACATCGAAAACAAATATAGATTTAGGTGGGAAGAAGGTTCAAAGTATTGACACATTGGAATATAGAATATGTATTTTTTGTGGCAGGCCTTCCAATAATGGGTAATACGTAATGTTATTAGCATAATGATAATAGCCTTTCAACATTATATATGTCAATTAATTTCAGTATTTGGCGTCTCATTCCCCTAGAGATTGCTATGCATTGTAGAATATTGCAGAGCATGATTTTGAAAACGGGACCAGACTGGATGTTTGAATTGGTTGATTTAGGAATCATCCAAGTAATTGGTTACGTTTCACTCTAAAATCATTCTTGAGCTAAAAATCGTTAATTTGGTCAACAACTTGCTGACCTGGGCAATTGAATCGCCAACCCAAATAACAGTTTTTGGTCTTTTTTATTTTTTTTAAATCAAAATGGGTCATTTATTCAAACCGGACGATTAGACTGTTCAACCCGGGAACCCGTCGCCAAAACAGTTCCATGTCCGATCTGGTTTTTGAAACCTTGCTGCACAATATGATACGTAGCTATTGGGGTGGCATCTAGTTGGGTGCTTACTGCCTAAACGACTAAATCTTGTTTTTAAACGTTAATAATTAAGTAAACATCCAATGACTCTTAACATGAGGCAATGAAATGAGTTGCATGCTTTAATTGATAAGAATGAAAAAGGAGAAAAAGCCAAAATTATCAAGAACTAAGAGGGGAAAGATTTTTGTTCAAAACAGGTTTTTCTTTATTTGGTTTGGAAGGGAAAGAAGAGGGAAAACCATTATGTTTACAAAAATGGTTACGAAATCTACAATTGGGAGGCATTGTTTAAGAGGAGAAAGAAAATTGGAGATAGAAGGTATGAAATCTAGTAAACTAGGTAGATATGAAGTTTGTCGAATGGAAGAGGTTAGAAGTATATGAAGAGATACATTACAATCAATAATACTGAGAATCTAGGGCATGCATGTATCATACAATAATACATCAAACAATGTTTGAGCTTCCAATCTTTTAACTACAAGACACATTAAATTGTTATTCAATGGGGAGTTTGATAGATCCATCTTATAGTTATTCTTTACCAATGATTATTTAGTAGGTGTTTGGCATCAGTGCTAGGAATATCACACCATTTTCTGAGAAAAACAGTGTTGGGCATGTAGTTTGGAACCGGTGTTGCTACTTAGGCTGTTTTCTAAGAAAACAACACTGGTTTTATTTGGTACTAATGTTGGCAACAACGTTTTCAACATGGTCTATATTATCCAACGTCCAAGATGATGCTACATTGATGCCACATCATTGCACCGTTGGCAGCATCATACCGTTTTCTTAAAAAACATTGAATTTGGCATTGCTCTAGACCACACTTTCCCGATTTCCAAGGCGTGGTTTGGAGCAACGTTTTTTCTAGAAAAATGATGCCAAACAAGAGGGTGTTATTTGAAGCACCGCTTTGGCACATCAATTCCAAACACCTTCTTAATTTTCAAAATTTTTCTAAAAGTTAAGAAAGCAAATCAATTTTGACATAAATTTTTATTAGATCAATGATAGATCCATTTATAGACTTTTCCTACAATTAAAATCATTTAAAACCTATAAAACATGTTTCTTTTATAATTTTCTATAACTGTTGAAACAACTTATAGAAATTGTCAAAAAATTTGGAAGAATCAACATTTCTTGATGTATGTTGGCTCTTACAAAGCTATGGAAGGCTATAATCTTTATTGGTGGTCATGTACCTATCTCGCATACTCAAACGTTTGGATACGGATACACTATGCATTATTATGCTTTGATTGTATCATATCGATATTTTAAACTTTGGGTCAAGGTAGTAAGAAATGATTCAAGGGTTCATAATTTAACAATGGATATGATACTTAACAGAAACATATTTATATAGCCAACTCCATATAATTAGGGAAAGACCTAGAAGATGATAGTGATGGTGGTGGTGAGGATTTTATAGGTAGAATTAATGTTTTAAAAACCGACTGAAATCGTTTCATCCACTGGTTTCCAAGTTAGCGGTTCAACCATCCGGTTTGAACAAATGGCCTATATCAATTTAAAAAAATAAAAAACTTTAAAAATAATTAAAATAAAAAATGATAAAAAATTGTTGTTCGAGTCGAAGAGGGCGACAGTTCGATCACCTGGGTCAGCAATTGAACAAAACCGATTGCTTGAATGGTTTCTGAGACAAATGGTCTGACCATTTGGGTCAACCATGGTTAGAACCTATAACAACTCCTTTTATGCTACTCTAGGTAGCTTAAGTCGGGCAGTTTTTGGTGTTCAAGAGATAAAAGTGAAGGCCATTTTATTTGCTATACATTTTTGCTATTCTACATTGATATAGATCCATAATTTTGGAATCAGATTCTTTATTGTTAATTTATGCTCTAAATGGTTCTTGCTTCTCTGTTCCTTGGCCTCTCTTGCCTATAAATTGATGGATGTAGTGTTCTTAAATTATCTCAGTGGTTCATCCAATTGCTTAATTTTCAAAACATCTTAATTTGGAGGTGGTATGGGATGTGATAGAATTTAGACCTGTACCAGAATTAGTTTAAGAATAACATAAGAAAGAGATAAAAGAGACAATAAAGAAGAAGAGAAAATAAGAAAAAGAGAGATGAAGAAAAGTTTAG